TAAATCCGACCTCTGCTCAAGGAAGAAAAGTGAGTGTGGGAGGTATGGGAGGTCGGGGAGGCAGGACTCGTCCTAGGGCCCCTGAGGTTACACCTTGGCTCACTCTGTCACGGGTAAAGCTGGTCCTGCCTGCCTGCAGGATGCTGGCATTTTCTCCTTGAAAGGGAGAAGCAGAGAAGGTCGGGGAGGGAAGGTGAGATGGGGTTTAAATGAGTCATGTCAGCTCACCAACGCTGTCATTGATCTCCTTCTACACGCCAGACACTGGGGAGACTGAGACGAATAGACACTGGTCCTGCTCTCAAGAAGTTCATCGCCAAGTAACTGGGTAAATACAATACCTGCGGTAGATGCTCTCGCTCCAAACGGGGTCCCATGCAGTCCTGGGGGAGACAGTTTATTCTGTGAAGAGAATGGCCTGCAAGGAAGTCTTCACAGATGGGTCAATGATAGAATGTTCTGAAATCTCAATCTGCAGGTGGGAAGGGTGCTCCAAATGTCATCCAAATGCCAGGCTCGGCAGAGCGAAGGCTGGGACGTATGACCTGCATGGGGAACTCTACGCTATATGGTATTTTAGAGCCAGGAGAGTGAGAGGGACGTGGGCAGGACACAGGGGTAGACACCGGGGAGAACAGTGGTTTGAATAATAAGTAACAGATGTTAATGGAGTGCTTATGTGGGGGAGCCCGTGGGCCAGCCTCAGGGGTTGGACGACAGCAATGGGACAGTCATCCAACAGGAAGTGTGTGATCATCAGTGTGGAGGGTGGATTGGAGCTGAAAGAGGCTGGGAAAGGAAGACCGGTCAGGAGGTGGATGCAATAGTCCAGGCAAAAGGCAAGTTATGGACCCAACCAAGGCAGGGCCCATAGGAAGGAGACTGTATTTGAGAAGCAGGTAGAATGTCCCATTGAGAGGGCTCAGTGACTGACTGTGGGAGGAGAATGGGGGAGTAGAGGAGGCAAGGGTGCCTCCTGTGCCACCAGCTGAACAGGCTCATGGGCACAGAAACAGTCGTGAAACACTGCCAAGCGCCTACGGGGTAGTGGCACTATTCTAGTCACAGAGACTCAGAAACAAATAATTAATTTCCCTTGAAGTTTCTTCAGGGTTAAAGGCAAGCTTCATGTGTATATATAAACTCATCCAGCCAAGTTGGGGTGAATCTCAGAACTTTTTTCTTTTTACCAAAAAATGCACCCTTTTCTCCTGTCACATTGGGATGATTCAAGATGGCCCCATTTGTCCGGGGGTAGGAGTAGGGCAGGCAGCCCATTGGTTGCCTGGCTAAGGTTAGGAGGCTGGGAACTTCCTTGAGAAGCAAGTCTCCTTCCAGCCACCTCTGCTGGAATTGGGTATTCCCCCCTCTACCCTCGGATGGATTTCCCCATAAATAAATGTCTTGTCTGAATTCATCTTATTTTCAAAAGGAGAGTCATCATATGGTAAAGACAGATTGTAAAAAGATGCATCAATCTGTCAGGAAGGCTGGTTAATATGAGCATTTGTTTAGCAGAGAGAGTGTGCCCCGAGGCGGCTACACTGTGAGGCTGGGCAGGTGCTTGGCCCAGGCCTGAATGCCGATGGCCCCCGCGTCTGGACCAGACTCAGGCCTGGAAGGGGCCTTTGTTTTAATATTTAGACCTTCGAACGCGGGCTGCTTTGTACATTGAGTAGGGCGCTGTGGCAGCCTCACATTTCAGAAGAGGCCCCCAGCTGGAGGGGGCAGACCCACGGCCCTAGATGTGTCTGAAACACTTTCATTTGAGAACTAATGAATATGAGGGAATTTTAGACGACACCTCAGACAATCTCTCCATTTTGTTTTATTCTTTTAAAAAATGTACACAGGCCATAACCTAAGTACACAGATAAAAGAGTAAAATACCACATGAGTAATACATGAAGTGCATGGTGTAAAAATTCTATACCATGACACATTACATGGGAAGTACATGTATATGAAATAGAAAAGAGAAAAACGCTAAAGTCCTCCTTTACCGCCTCCACCATTGACTACCATGAACTATTTGATGTGTCTCCTTTTCACTCTCCTCCAACGCATTTCTACCTATTTATCCCAGGCACAATACACATACAGTTTACTTTTGTTATGTGAATAGGATCATAGCAACATTTGGTACTTTTTTTAACCTAACATTCTATTTTGGGTTTCTTTTAAAAATAAAAGTATAAAACTAATACATGTTTATTATAAAAACTTCAAACTTTAAAGAGAGGAAGAAAATAAAAGTAAAATAAGCACCAAAAACAAACAAACAAAAAAACTTTTTCTTCCTGTCCCTCCAATTCCCACTCTCAGAGCAAAGAGATAAAATGAACATATTTTTGTGTATCTTTTAAGAAATGATTATGCATATACTAGCATGTAAACACACATATCCTTCATCTGTTCATTGTATGGATGAGGAAGTGAGAGCTCAGAGAGGTCACAGGCATATCCAAGGTCACACAGCTGACTGGGGCAGAGGCATATGTGGAGCCCAGTGCCCTGCCTTCAGAGGGCAAAGAGCTTTCCGCTGCACGTCTCCAAGGCGTTTGCCCACAGCCAGTCTCGGCTGGTGTCTCTAATCCCTTCCTAACCTCAGCCTGGTCTGTAAGGTGGACACTTGTCACTTTTTTTCCCCCCCCCCCCCCGCCAGGAATGCTGTAGGTTCTCAGTGTATTCATAGACTACACTTGTGCTGCTTGTCCGGGGACCTGCCTGTTTGTTTCACTAATGCCTGCTGTGTCTGTCCGAGCTGTCCTGGCAGCAGACCGGCGTCCTGGAACCTGGCAAAGACATTCATTCAGGGAGCTGTGTTTGCACCTTTGTTCCCAGATTACACCTGGCAGTTGTATGCAGAGGACCCTTCTCAAAGGTAATTCCATTTAAGCAACCCCTCGGCCTGGTGGGAACCGATGTCTGCATTGGGCCTATTGCCCCTCCCTCTGTGCTAGATCCTGGGGCCACGGGCCTGACCCCGGGGGACTCACAGCACACACCTGTGTCTGCAGTTAGCCTGTGTGTGTCAGCCTTAGCCATCTTGGGCCCAGATGTGTCTACAGCATTGCCAACATCTGGGTGAAAGGAGAAAAGTCAGCCAGCCATACGGATGCATTTGTTTCTTGCTGACAGTAGGATGGCACCATCTGGACATCTGGGAACCATCCAGTTGGACAGACGGTGTCATCTGTACACCACATATTTGATCCCGCCCCCTATGATGACACGAAATGGCAGAGCCTGGGCCTACAACTCTCCCCAGCCAGGCCTGTCCTGACTTGCAGATGGGAAAGAGGGAAGGCCAGAACCTGGTCACTGGGTGTGGACAAGGGAGGTGTGTGTGTGTGTGTGTGTGTGTGTGTGTGTGTGAGAGCAGGTTTGTGTGTGTGCATGCATTTGTGTGTTGGGATGAGGAGCTGGCAGCTAGAGAAACTCTGACCTTGAAACTGAACTCTCGTGACATCACAGTTCCGCCTGAGGCTGGGCCTGGAGGTGCTGTCTCCAGCCGGGAGCTTTGGAGTGAGGGGCGGTCTTCTCTGCCTGCCTTTGATGCACTGCCGCGCAGGAAGCAGTCTCCTTCCCAGCAAACAACTCCTCCTGGGATCCCTGGTTCTGCATCGCCCCCCAGTGGGCAACTGGAATATATCTGGAGAGAAAGCCTTCCGGCACACTTGGTCCCAAGTCAAACGCGTGGATTTTAGAACCTCAATGCTTTTCCTGTTCTCCTCCAACCCAACCCGTGGAAAAGAAAGGCACAGTCTACACCCCATTGGAAAGTGCCTGATCCCAACCCCATGAAGGCAGTTTGGGGGATGAGTGTTTTAGTCTGTCACAGAAAAGACAGGACCTGGCAAGACCAGCTACAAGGTGGAGGGTGCCCAGGAACCGCGGGTTCCCAGGGGTTTGCAGTGCGGGGCAGCTCCGATCCGAGGAGGTGAGGCCAGCCCTCCCACTCCTGCCCGAAGCCCAGGGCCTCTCCTCCCCAAAGTGTCTCCTCGGAGAGCTTTTGCATCTGCTGTCTGTGACATCCACTCCCGCCCAGACAGGGACAGATGCAAACAGAGGCTGGAACGCGGTGATAGAGCAGCCGCAACACAGCCTGAAGATGCAGAGACAACAACGTCTGGAGCGATAAGGACCCACAGGGATGGAAGGCCAATGTCCTGAGCACGGACGGTGGTGTCTCATTTCACTTGCAGTTGTGACTGGGAGATGTCGTCAGTCCCATTTTTCAGATGAAGAAACAGACTCAGAGAGGTTGCCAGGGCTGCACAGCTGGGGTGTGGCTGAGCTCAGCTTCAGGTCACAACCTGCTTGATCTCCAGCACATGGCCTTTCTGTGACCCCGCAGACACACGGGCACCATCTCCATCCCGTTTCTCTAATGACTCAGTGCTTGGAGAGAAGGGAGAGACCCACATGCAGAGCAATGAGGGGGAGAGAGAGAGAGAGAGAGAGAGAGAGAGAGAGAGAGAGAGAGAAGACAAGGGGCACAGAGAGATGATGGGAAGACAGTGACAGAGAGAAAGGTTAAAAAAAGATCTGCTTATCTCTCCCTACAGGCATAAATTTTGGATAAAATACACATTCCAGGTCTCATCCCCAGATCTTCAGAATCAGAATTTCTGGGAGTGGGACCCAGGAATCTACATTTAAAGAAATGTCCTCTGAGTGGCAAAGTGTGCTTTGAAATGCGTCCGAAAAGTAAGGTACATTGATGGGTGGATAGAGGAAGCGATAGATGGATAATATGTCATAAAGCAAATATAGCAAAATGTTACCTGAGGAAGCTAGAAAGTAGATAACACTGTTCACTGTACAATTCCCTTAATTTTCTGTATATTTGAAAAATGTCATAATAAAGTGGTGGTGGTGGGGGGCAATTTCCTGAAGGATTGTGATCATTAGGCAGGTCCAGGAAGGACCCCTGTTGTACTTTTGGAGGAGCAGTTGCCCTGGAAACCTCCCATCCCACCCCCTCATGAAGGAAGTCCACCTGCCCGTGGGGCCTCCTGCTCTGCGTGTGGCTGTCGGAGGCTGGCCCCTGAGGGGCACTGTGCAAGGTGACCCACTGGCTGGTGGGGTGGGCGGAGCTCGGAGAGGTGGGGCTAGAAGTTCTCTTGGAAGAATCTGAAGCTGAACTGCTCACAGTGGACCCTGAGCACCTTGGCCAGGGCTGGGGAGCCGCAGAAGAAGACCTGCACCTTGCCCTTCTTCTCAGCGGCCACTTTCTGGAACACCTGGAGTCCACGGGGTTGGGGAAGAACAGAGGGAGGAGAGGTGGGACTGTGGACCCGCCCCGTGACACACCCACCTGAAGCTGGCAATGCCATGGGTTGGCAGTGGCAGCCATGACCATCTGTCTGTCCCCAAGAGGAAGGCCAAGACTCAGCTGCTTGTCTTCAGAGCAGAGCATGTAACATGCAGCCATTCCTCTAGGAGCCATTGCTCCACCCATAACCTGACCCCCACCCCAGGGAGGGGATGGGCCAGAGAAGAGTAAGACCCGGGCCCTCGCCTAAGGAGCTGCGTGTGAGGGGGAGACGCACACCCCACTAACTGCCATGTTGGAGGACAGTGACGGAGCCCTGAGCGGCATGCTGACCCCACCTGCCCTGAACCTCGTGTTGTCCTCCAGCCGGCCACGGCCTCCACTGGAATGTCTTTCCTGAAGTCGGGCTTCTTCCCCCAGTGGGGACCCCTTTCCACTCCAGATGCTGCTTAAGAGTTGCCTTTGCTGAAAGTCCTCTTTGGTGCCCAAGCACCACTGGCAGCCGTCCCCCCTCAGCTCTCACTCCCTGGGCCTGGAGTATCGGCAGCAGATGGAAAGAAGTACTTTCTGGGTCAGTTTGTGAAACCCTAGCCCCCAGGTGGTAAGCACTCAGGGAAGAAAAATAAAACCAACCTGAGAAGTAAAATAGGAAGGCTGCACACTATCTTATGTCCCTGGGCCTCATTTCCCCCATCTGTACCAGGAAGGGATAAGACAAGGATGCCGTCCACTGGGGCCTTCTGGCTCTGGTTCATAGGGGGCGGTCAGAGCTGGGGGAGACCTTGGAAGTCATACGGGCTAACTTCCTCTCTAAACAGATGGGGAAACTGAGGCCAATCATGGGATAAAGTGAGCGAGTGACGGATCCAGAAGTAGGTCCCCTGCCTCCAGATCCAGCCCTGCGATCCTGGCTGGACTCCAGATGCCAGCCTCATGCTTTGCCCCTGGCTGCAGGGCCCTAATCTACCCGGCCGCCGCTCAGGCTCTCAGCCGCACGGTCCCTGGGGCTGTGACTCCAGCCAGGCTTTACCTTGCTCCAGTCAGGCCGCCCCGGCTGGGTGCGCGTCTGGAGGCCCGTGATGGAGTCCTTCTTCTCCTTCTTGGCCACGAGGTCGAGAGCCATCTGCAGGCCGATGGCCTTCATGTCGTTCTTGCCCAGCGCCGAGGTCATGTACATGTGCAGCTCTAGGAAGCGGCCTACATGGTGGGAGGAGAGGGTGGCACTGAAAGGCCAGCGACTGTGATGGGCACAGAATGTCAGCCACCTCGCCCTGGGGCTTGGAGGGACACCAAGAGGGCTTGGAACTCACACCTGCAGCCACCGTGTTCACCCAGGACCCCCTCCCCCACGTGCTGTAGACAGGAACGAGCCCACTGCTTGAACTGGGCCTGCTCTGCGCTCTGACCTGCAGCCACCGTGTTCACCCAGGACCCCCTCCCCCCCGTGACCAGTGCTGTAGACAGGAACGAGCCCACTGCTTGAGCTGGGCCTGCTCTGCGCTCCACATACATGAGTTGGTTCATATCCAGTGTCTAATGTGAGCCTCACCACCACCCAGGGGTTCTGTTTCTAGAGGGAAATTAATCCCAGGGCATGGTGGCAGTCCTTGGGCTCCGCAGCGTGTGCCCTTCCATTCCACGTGGTGGCTGCTCAGGCAGGTGGGGGACACCAGCCATGCACACATGAAATGGTAACTGAGACCAAAGGGCCAAGGGTTGAGTGAGAGGATGATGGCAAAGGCTACTGCTACGCAGGGAAGGGCTGGCGTAGAGCTGCTCCCTGGGAGGTGGGGATTGGGTGAGGTCTTGGAAGAGGGGCAAGACTCAAAGAGGAGATGAAAGGAAGGCATCCCGAGAAGGGGAACTAGCCTGCGCCCAGGGCAAGAGGCTGGAACGAACGTGGTGATGGTGGGGCATGAGGTGACTGCCTGGCCGGAGCGGAGGATCCTTGAACAGGAGCAGCAGGAGGGGGGACTGGACACTCTGAGGCTAGAACGCTAAAGGTCTGAGTGCCCAGCTAGGAAAGGGGGCCGGTGGAGGGCACCTGAGCAGAGCATGGCAGGATGGAAACAGCGTTTCAGAAAGCGGGGTCAGAGGCCAAAGGGAAAGGCCACAGGCTGACATCATGGAGGCCATTAGGTCCGAGCAGCCTCAGTTAGATGCCTGCAATGGGACAGGTTAGCTGAGGTGCTGGCCCTTCTCGGCCCTCAGGACAGCGGGAGCTCAGGTGGGCAGCTCTGTGTTCGGGCTCCTTCCTCCGTTTTCCCAGACACGGCATACAAATGGTACCGTTTTCCATGGTGCCACGATGGCCCGTGCACCCGTGCACAGTCAGCAGTGGCAGGGCCTGCTCCAGGCTGTTGGATCCATGGGCTGATGATCACTCATCCTTCTCCTCCCCCCAGTCTAAAGGATTGTGCCGTTCTCAACTCGCTCTCGATGGTTTCATCTGGTACCATTAGCCCAGGTTCCCTTCGGCTTAAGGTCTCAGCCACTGTTAAAATGCAGATGGCCTTAGAAGGGACACCACTTTTTATGTCACATGTCGGTGAACCTGAGTAGTGCTGGGTGGTGAGGGAGGGCGATGTACTACAAAGGATGCCCATCTGGGAGAGCCCTGACCCTCCTCGCCCTCCTACAGTCACCACACCCCAGAGAGGGGTAGGAGAAGAGAGAAGGAGACCCGTGTGGGAGGGAGGAGAAAGATCAGACCTGACATAGTTTCTCCCTCCTCAAAACAGCTGAGTTTGAGACAGTCATCCCATTTCTGGGACACTCTCCTAAGAAAATCATCCAAAGGAAGGAGGAAAAACCCCCACTATGTGCACATTTATATTAATTGCAGCTTTACTTATGGTGGTGGAGAACTAGGAATAAACAAAATGTCCGGTAGTAAAAGCTTGGTTAAATAATTGTGGCAAGTCACTAACTATATCATTCATTAATAGCCATTAAATACAACTACTGCGATTGCTAAATTTATTGCGTAGTTTTACTACTTCTACTACTATTAAATTTATTGAGCAGCTACTATTACTACTACCATTACTACTATATTTACTGAGCAGTTATTAAGCTCCACTCACTGTTGTAAGTGCTGCACATATGATATCTCACTTAATCCTCACAACAATCCATTTGTATCCATATTTTTCAGATGAGGACATTGAAGCAAAGCAGTTAAATAATGTGCCCAAGCTTCTATAGCTACTATGGGATAGAGATACAAACCAAACAGAATGATTGAAGCTTAAGCTATAGAAATTGAAAAATGATAAATTACAAATTCTTTAACTCAAACCTTAATGTAAAATTAAAATCAGAGACTGTAATTTGAGGTAATAAAGGTGTTGACTCAAGTGGCCTTGAGAACGGAAAGCACTGGGTGAGCTGGTGCCCTTTGTTTACATGGATCAGGAAGAAGCAAACAGTAAATATTTATGTACCAGTAACTAGAAATTTAAATTAAAGCTAAACTTTTCCCCTTGCTTACTAACATCATAAAAATCCAGTTTCTAATGAATTGATATGCACAAAAGCGTTCAAAACAAAGTTGATGCTATGTAAATATTTGCTATAATTGTTATTTACAAGAAAGGGCAAGGAGCTTTATTGCGACCTTCTGAGGTTTAATAGTTATCTTCCAAAGACTGGTGACGTGGCTTTAAGGCTTTAGATGTTTGCTACAGTGAGCTACATCTGTTTGAATGTTTCCTGCAGAAAACAATGTTTGATTACTTGAACTTATAAACTATGTTTATTATTGAAATTTGAATTTACTCATGGCATCCTTGTGATAGTTAAGCAGCCAAATAAGATCTAATTCCAATGAACTCAACCAGTATTTTTTTTAAAAAACACATAATTCTCTTGAAGTTAGAAACAGATCTAAAGATATTCCTCCTTGTATAAGTTATTCCACAAGTAAAACAAAATGAAACAAACATGATGAAGCTGCCCAGCCAGCGTGGCTCAGTGGTTGAGCATCGACCTACGAACCAGGAGAAGGTCATGGTTTGATTCCTAGTCAGAGCACATGCCCGGGTTGTGGGCTCAATCCCCAGTGTGGAGCGTGCAGGAAGCAGCCGATCAATGATTCTCTCTCATCATTGATGTTTCTATCTCTCTCTCTCTCTCTCCCTTCCTCTCAGAAATCAATAAAAATATATTTTAAAAAATAATAATGAAGCTAACAGATTAACTTTAGGACACGGGTCAAAACATCAGTATCCCACAAAGGTGTCCCATGAAGGCTATGATATAACCCAGAGAAGCATGTCATCGTACACACGAAGCACTGGCTTAGCGAATAATGCAGAATGTACATGTGGGGGGGGGGTGGCACTGCAGGGCGGGAGGAGGACATGTTTGATGAAAGTATAAAAGAAGGGCCCAAACAGTAAAAGAACTCATATATGCTAAGGTGTTTAATCTTTATCTTAGGCCACTCTTTAAATGTTTTTATTGCCACCGCATCAGGAAAAATACTGAGCATTCAACCCCAATACATATATGTGCTTATTCACATGTTCATTTCAACTAACTGGTTATGTACATTAAAAATGTATGTTGGAGAAAAAGAACCATATTTACTTTCTCACCTTAAGCAACTAGAAAAATGGACAAAATACATAAAACAATGGTCAACAGGTAGTGCAAGACTGTAATTGCCAAGAGAGGGAAGCAAATGAAGTGAGCCTTGCAATTGTCCCAGCCTGGAGCTGGTCTCACTGAGCGAGGGGACAGAAATCGGGGTTCAAGGAGGCCAAGACAACTAGAATATGCAGCACAATACTGGGAAAAGGGAACCACACAGAGAGAGGGAAGGAAGACGAGAAAGAGGAAGGGAGGAAGTGAGGGAGTCGGGGAGGAGGGAGGAGGACGCTAACTCTGGAAATCTGCATAAAGATTCCCCCAAGCCTTTGGCTAAGCATTAATCTGCACATGTCTGAAAGAAACTTCCTGGAAAACACTAGGCTGAACAGTACCTGGAGCTCAAAAAGAGCTGAGAATAATTTGTGCTTCCACCAGAAAGAGTAGGCAGATCTGGGAATACACAGGCCAGTGGGTAGAGTCCTCAGAGGTGTAATCTCTTAGTACTGGAGCTACATTAGTCCCGTAATAAAGTCTGCCCTGGACTCGCCATACCAGAAGTTGAAGCAAGTCCTGAAAGGATTCAAATTATCTCAAATAATGCAGCTGTGTACCAGAATAAAGTTAAAGAAATGCCACAAAATCCAGAACACAACAACATGCAATTCACAATGCCCAGCAGCCAGTAAAAAGTTAATGGGCAGAGTAATCCCACTCCTAGGAATATAGCCCAAGAAATCAGAAACACCAGTCAGAAAGGACATATGCACCCCTATGTTCATAGCAGCACAATTCACCATAGCTAAGATTTGGAAATAGCCTAAGTGCCCATCAGCAGGTGAGTGGATTAAAAAGCTGTGGTACATCTACACCAGGGGTCCTCAAACTACAGCCCGCGGGCCACATGCAAATACAAATATTGTATTTGTTCCCGTTTTGTTTTTTTACTTCAAAATAAGATATGTGCAGTGTGCATAGGAATTTGTTCATAGCTTTTTTTTAAAAACTATAGTCCAGCCCTCCAACGGTCTGAGGGACAGGGAACTGGCCCCCTGTTTAAAAAGTTTGAGGACCCCTGATCTACACAATGGAATACTATGCTGCTGTAAAAAAGAAAGAACTCTTACCATTCACAACAGCATGGATGGACCTGAAGAGCATTATGCTAAGCGAAATAAACCAGTCAGAGAAAGATAAATATCACATGATCTCACTCATTTGTGGAATACAATGAACAACATAAACTGATGAACAAAAATAGATCCAGAGACCAGGAAGAATTGAACAGACTGTCAAACTTCAGAGGGAAGGCAGGGGAGGGGGAGTAAGAGATTAAGACATCAACCAAAGGACTTGTATACTTGCATACATGCATAACCAACGGACACAGACACTAGCGGGTGAGGGCATGTGCTGGGGGGTGGGGTGTGGGTGGCCAGGGAGAGGTCAATGGGGGAAAAAGGAGACATATGTAATACTATATGTAATACTTTAAACAATAAAGAATAAAAGAAAAAGTTAATAGGCAGGCTAGGCCTGTGGGCTTGTATGGCTGTGGGGGGCGGGCACCTGGGGGAGCCAAAAAGCCTCCAGCACCTGGTATTCCCAGGCAGCCGCCCATTCCAAGATCAGCCGAGATCAGGCATGTTCAGGGTGGTATGGCCATAGACACTGAGAGGAGCCTCCAGGAGCCATAAGAGCCTGTGCCCTGCCTCCAGGCCCCTCAGCCCTTGGCTGCCACTCTGAGCTGGTGCTCTCCCCCTCCCTGGGACCATATCTCTCCCTGAGCCTTTCACCTGCTCCTTGGTCTATCTTCTGAGCTTCCAAAGGGTGCAGGAGGGCACCTCCTTTGGGATTGGGATTCCCTGGGTAGCGAGGAAGGGGGTGCCCTTCCCAAATGGGTAGGATGGAGTCCGCTAAGGACCATGGAAAGGAGTCGTGGGGAGAGGGCGACACTGGTCTTCTGTCTGGGGGAGGGGTTAAAAAAAAAGAAAAAAAAAGTTATCCAGCATGAAAAGAAGCAGGAGAACACGATTCATAACTAGGAGAAAATTAGTAATTAGAAAGAGACCCAGAAATAGTAGATATGATGGACTTAGACAAACATATTACACAAATTTATAAATGTGCTTGAGAATATCAAATCAAAACAAAGCAGGTAGGATGAGGAGAGAAATGAAAGACATAAAAGAGACCCAAATGGACCTTCTAGAGAAGAAAAATATAATGACAGAATGAAAAATACAATGGGTAGGATTAACAGCTATTTTAGGCCTTTGGTTTTCCAAATAAATTTTAGAATCAGCTTCTCAATAACTTTTTTTTAAACCTGCTCAAATTTTGATTAGGATGGGAATGACAGATAAGGTACTGCAGAAGGAAAGATCAGTGATCTTGAAGAGACAGCAATAGAAACTACCCAAAATGCAGCACAGGTTGAGAGAAAGGGGGAAGAAACAAGAACAGAGTCTCAGTGGCCTGTGGAATATCACACTGCCTAACATCTGCGTAATGGAAGTGACAGGAGGGAAAGAGGAGAGAGAAAAACATGTAAAGAAAGAGTGGCTGAAGTTTATCCAAATTTGATGGGAACTACAAGTTCATATATCCAAGAAGTTTAATGAACTCCAAGTACAAGAAATATAAAGAAAACCACTTGCCAGAAATGTTTTGTAGTTTTCAGTGCACAGAGCTTGGCCATATTTTGCTATATTTATCCTTAAGTGTTTCATGTTTTAAAATTTTTTCAATTACAAATTATTTGTTGTTAGTAAATAATAATACAATTGATTTTTGCATATTGACTTTACATCCTGACCTTGTTGAACTCTCTATGAGACTGATCTAAATGAGATAAAATCACAAAACTTTTAAAAGGCAACATAAGAGAAAAAACTCATGACTTTGGTAAAGTAAAGATATTAGATAGGAAACAAAAAGCATGAGTAATAAAAGAAAAAATTGATAATTTGAATATCATCAAAATTTAAAAATTTGTGCTTCAAAGGACAATTTAACAAAATGAAAACACAAACCACAGACTGGGGGAATGTATCTGTACAAAGCACACCTGATAGTAGACCTGTTTCCAGAATATGTATATTACTCTTACAACTTAATAAAGAAGAAGACAAACATCTGGATTTAAAAAGTGGACTAAATATTTGAAACTTTACAAAGATGTATAAACAACAAATAAGAACATGAAAAAATGTTCAATATCATTAATCATTAAAGAAATGCAAATTAAGAGCACATTAAAATATCCCCATACACCCACTAGAACAGCTAAAATTAAAAAGACACCAATATCAAATCTTGGTGAAGTTGTGGAGCAACTGGAACTCTCATCCATTGCTGATGGTAATGCAAAATGATACAGCTACTTTGGAAAACAATTTGGCAGTTTCTTAATAAATTTAAACTTATCACATACCCAGCAATCCCACTTTTAAATATTTACCCCAAAGAGATAAAAACATATGTTCACACAAGGACTTGTATGCACGTATGTATAGTAGTTTTATTCAAAATAGCTAAAAAAGTTAAAAGCAACTCTAATATCCATCAACAAGTGAATGGAAAAACAGACTGTGATATATCATAAAATAGAAAACTATTCAGTGCTAAAAGGAATTTACTTATTGATACATGCAACAACATGGATAAATCTCAAAGATATTATGTTAAGTGAAAGAAGTAACATAGAAAAGACTATGGATTATATTATTCCTTTTATGAAATTCTAGAAACTATAGTGATAGAAAGCAGATCAGTGGTTGCCAAGGATTACAAGTTGAGGGGAGGGTGTTAATGCAAAATGTGATGAGGGAACTTTTGGGGGGATAATAGAAATGCTCCCCATTTTGATTGTGCTGATGGTTACACAACTGTACACATTTGTCAAAATGTCATTGTATTCGTTGTGAGTTTTATTGTCTGTAAATTATCCCTAAACAACTTTTTTTTAAAAAGGTATGAATAAGAACCATCTGAGAAGTATGTTAAAATCAAAATCTCAATGTCATTTTTTTTTTTTTGGTCAGTCTTTACCAGACGATATTTTTCCATTGCTTTTTAGAGAAAGTGGAAGGGAGAAGGAGAGACAGAGAAATAGAAACATTGATTGGTAGCCTCCCACACAGGCCCCAACCAGGGTGGGGGAATCGAACCTGCAACTGAGGTACAGGTACATGCCCTTGACTGGAATTGAACCCTGGACCCTTCAGTTCACAGGCCAATGCTCTATCCACTGAGCCAAGCCATCTAGGGCCCAATGTCATTTTTTAAAGAAATAGAACAAAAAAATTATCAGATTTGTATGATCCTGAATAGCCAAAGCAATCCTGAGAAAAAAGAATGAAGCCAGAGTTATCACACTACCTGATTTCATATTTATACAGAGTAACGATAATCAAAACAGCATGGTATTGGCAGAAAAACAGACACACAGACCAATGGAAAAGAATTGCGAGCCCATAAATAAAACCACATGTATTTGGGCAAATAATTTTTGACAAAGGAGCCAAAAACACATAATGGAGAAAAGAAAGTCTCTTCAATAAATGGTGCTAGGAAAATTGGAAAGCCACCTGCAAAAGAATGAAACTAGACTACAGTTTGTCCATATACAAAATTAATTCAAAATGGATTGAAGACCTAATTATGAGATCTGAAACAATAAATTACAAAGAAGAAAAAGTAGGTACTAAACTCATGGATCTTGGTCTTAGAGAAGATTTTATGAATTTGACCCCAAAGGTCAAGGGAAGTAAAGACAAAATTAAATGAATGGGACTATATCAAACTAAAAAGCTTCTGCACAGCAAAAGAAACTACCAATAAAACAGAAAGGCATCAATCAAATGGGAGATGATATTTGCAAACAACAGCTCTGACAACGGGTTAATATTCAAACTATATAAAGAACTCATACATCTCAATACCAAACAATCCAATTTAAAAAAATGGGCAGAGGACCTGAACAGACACTTCTCCCAAGAAGACATTCAAATGGCCAACAGATATATGAAAAGATGCTGAACTTCACTAGCTCTTAGGGAAATGCAAATCAAAACTACAATGAGATACCAGCTCATACCTGTTAGGATGGCTATTATCAACAAGACAAGAAATGACAAGTGTTAGAGAGGTTGTGGAGAAAAGGGAACCCTCATTCACTGCTGGTGGGAATGTAAACTGGCCACAACCACTATGGAAAACAGTATGGTGCTTCCTCAAAAAACTTACAAATAGAGTTACCATATGACCCAGCCAATCTTCTGGGTATCTCCTGGAAAAACTTGAAAACATTTACTTGAAAAGTTATATGCACCTCTATGTTCGTTGCAGCACTATTCACGGTGGCCAGTACATGGAACAACCAAAATGTCCTTCGATAGATGGTTAGATAAAGGAGATGTGGTTCATATAGACTATGGAATACTACTCAGCCATAAGAAAAGATGAAATACTGCCATTTGTGACAACATGGATGGATTTTGAGAATATTATGCTAAGTGAAATAAGTCAGTCAGAAAAAGCTAAGAACCATGATTTCACTCATATGTAGGACATAAAACTGAAACGCATAGACAAAAATAGTATGGCCATTACCAAAGGGAAGGTGGTGGCGGGGGGGTAGTAAAGTGTAAAGGAGGCCAAATATATGGTGACGGAAGATGATTTGACTTTGAGTGGTGGACACAGAATGCCATCTACAGATCATGTGTCATAGAAATGCACACTTGAAACCTATATAATCTTATTAACCAATGTCACCCCTATCCGTTTAATAAAAATCTATAATAATAAAAGTGTAATATGCTAATTAGACCAGATGTCTTTCATTCCAGACAAAGTTGCTGTGGGGGTGGGGGATGGGAGGCTGAGGCAGAGGCGGCAGAGGCCCCTGGCCACAGTGATGGCGGGCGGGGGCTGGGGCCAAGGCTCTTGCATGAATTTCGTGCATTGGGCCTCTAGTAAATAAATAAAGGACTAGCAATCTGTGGGAATAAAATAAATTTTAAAAAAAGGTATGAATAAGAATCACCTGAGAAGTATGTTAAAATGTTTGTTCTTGGGCCTCCACCCAGAGAATTTGCTTTGAAAGTTCTCAGGTAAGGCCTTGAAATCTAAATTTTCAACAAGTATTCACTTTGAATGAAAAGAAATGTCATGAAAAAGAGAAATTAGAAAAAAGAAGAGCATACATTTTTATAAAATGTGAATAAGAAAAAATACCAGAAGGAAATCTTTTAAAATGCCTGAAATAGACAAGATAGCTGGATGGATTATGAATGATTTTTTTCTCCTTTATGTTTTGTTTCACAAAATGTTACATTTAAGTGGAAAATAAAAGCAATCCTCTCTCCCCCACATTTTTTATAGAAATAGAATAATCTAAACACCTTCTCACAAAGACCCGGCCCCACTCCCACCTTCCTCAGGCCCTGTCCCTCTCCTACCCTCTTGAGGCTCCTCGGCCTGGTCCATCTCCAGTTTGGTCAGCAGGCTCACAAACCACTCGAAAGACCGCTGGTCTCGGTTGATCCAGATGAAGTCCACCTAGAGAGGGGGGCCCTTCGGTTCTGAGGTGGGGCCTACCAAGTTCACAGCTCATGTCTGCTCTCCAAGGCCTGTATGATGACCCTGGCATGATCGGGTACACATTATCATCCCCATTTAAGGAGGGGGAAGCTGAGGCTCACAGAGATGAGGAGCCTTGACCAGGCCACAGAGCAGCATGGGGCCAGAACCCAGGTTCCTGACTGTTGGGTCAGGATTTTCTATAATAATCTATTGTTAAAGCAAGCAATGTACTGGGATTGTAAGCATAGGACAGCCAGAAAAACATTACTTTTTATTTATTTTTAAAAATCCTCACCCAAGGATATGTTTTTATTGATTTTTAGAGAGAGGGGAAGGAACAGAGGGAGAGAGAAACATCAATCTGTTGCCTCCTGTAACACACCGTGACTGGGATCGAATCTGCAACCTAGGTATGTGTCCTGACTGAGAATTCCACCTTCTGGTGTATGGGATAATGTTCCAACCAACTGAGCCACACCGGCTAGGGCAGTGATGGCGAACCTATGACACGCGTGTCAGAGGTGACACGCGAACTCATTTTTTTGGTTGATTTTTCTTTGTTAAATGGCATTTAAATATATAAAATAAATATCAAAAATATAAATCTTTGTTTTACTATGGTTGCAAATATCAAAAAATTTCTATATGTGACACGGCACCAGAGTTAAGTTAGGGTTTTTCAAAATGCTGACACGCCAAGCTCAAAAGGTTCGCCATCACTGGGCTAGGGCAACAGTACTTATTTTTTTAAGAAATTCTTGCCTGGCCAGCATGGTTCAGTGGTTGAGCATTGACCTATGAACCAGGAGGTCACAGTTCGATTCTAGGTCATGGCACATGTCCAGGTTTCAGGCTTGATTTTCAGGAGGGGGCATGCAGGAGGCAGCCGGTCAATGAATCTCTCTCATCATTGATGTTTCTATCTCCCTCTCCCTCTCCCTTCTTCTCTGAAATCAATAACAATATATTTTTGTAAAAGAAATTCTTTGAAGTGGCCTAGTCAAAATAATAAATTTTGAAAAGGCAAATGTTTTCATTTTTAAAACCACCACCAGATGATGGCTAGTAAGCATCATGGCTATAACTGGATCCAGACTGCCTGACTTTCAAGCTCCTTGGTCTTTGATGAGATGCTGTCTTCAGAACATCTCTCAGGGGTGAAGAGGGGTGATGGAAGAGGGGAGGCCTGGACACTTAGGAGGCACCAGGAAATGCAGGGCACTGGGGGAAGTGTAGGGGCCAGCAGATCCCAGCAGGAGGGCCTGGCTCCTGTTCCAGATGGTCTCCCAGGGAGAGGGGTCCAGGCCTGCTGCGGAGGGCCATGCTCACCTTGTGGAGCTTCATGTCTTCGTCCTGGATGCCCTCCATCCAGCAGTGCTGGCAGTTGGGGCAAATGTGCTTTCTCTTCTGGTACCTTAGGGGAGGCAGGAGCGGGGGTTTTGAGTTTGTGATGAGTAGGAGGCTTTAGGACCTCAGAGTACAGTGCAGGGGACAGGGAAGGAGGATGGGGTGACAGAACCCACCCTATGAGAAAGGAGAGGGATGAGACCCCAAAAGAAGAGGCTGTATGAGCAGGGGAGGGAAGAAAGAAAAGGAGAAAGGGAGATACTGAAAGGAGAGAAGGGAGCCGGGAGGGGAAGAGAAGAGGGGAGGACTCTCTCAGGACTCTGCTGTAGGCCACCCACCTGTACATGATGCTCTGCAGGATGGAAGCAAAGGGCGTGATGCCAATGCCCGCCCCGATGAGCACGGCATGCTCAGAGGCGAAGATCCTGCGGGTGGGGGTTCCATAAGGGCCATCGATGTAGCACTGTGCACCGGAGAGGTTGAAGGAAAGAGAGTGGAGAGTGGTGAGTGGGTGCGGGTAGAGCTGGACCCCAAGGCTTTAAGACTCTCTTTCTACACAGGCAGTTGTCTCCTGGCCTGGAACCAGGTCTAAGCTCTGTGCTCTGAGTTCACTTCTGGGAGAGCCCTAGAATCTCAGAATGCAGAGCTGATGGGAGCAGGGCTCCCCCCGCACCCCTGTGTGCCCCTGGGCCTGGAGGGTTTGGTTCCATCCTCTGGATATCTGGAAATCAGCCCCGGGGAGAATGGAGGGGCTTGGACAGGGGATCCCGGAGCCACTCACCTTGATGTTACAGAGTTGGTGGTTCTCAGGGGGCATCTCAGAGACCTGCGAGGAGTACAGCAGTGAGCTGTGGGTCTCTGGGAGTGGGCATGGCAGGCGTTTCTCAGAGGCTTCCAAGCACTTGCCAGCCTGAGTAACTTCACTAAAAGGGCATTGCCTTTTCTGCCCCCACCATTCCAGGGAGCATGGCGCTCTTCTGGGAGAGAACATCAGTGGTGTTCTGGAAAATTCACTCACTCTTCAGCAACAGCAACAAAACTCCTGCATGTTAGGTTTGCTGATTTCTGGTGTGAATAGCGCTGTGATGGCTCCCACCAAGGCCTGCATTTAATAACTGGCTCTCAGAATTCCTGGGAACTTAACCATCAGCTCTTGCGGGCCATTACCAGTCAGCTTCAGGGTGTGACCAGACACATGTTCGACTCTGTCTCCAGCCCCTCCCGAGAACTGTCACGTCTCTAGACAATTCCCTGCCCTGAACGTTCCTTCCCAAACACCCTTTCCCATGGCCCAGCTGGCCAATTCCTGTGCACCCTTCAGTGTCCAGCTGCTGTGAAGCAGTCGCTCCTCCTTGAAGCTCTGCCCAGCTGACCCAGGCACAAAGCCAGTGGCTGGCCCACCAGAGCCCCCTGGGACAGGGAGCAGGCCTGCCTGACTCCTCGGGGCCTGAGCAACAGCCGGCAGACAGACTGGATTTGTTGAGGTCAAATTCTGGAGGTGAAGGAAGCAGACCCCCCAGCAGGCTACAGGGTCCTGTGCTAACTCCCTCTCTGGCACCAGAAGGCAGAGTTAGGAGGGACCTTCACTGTCATCCAGGCCAACCCCTCATTTCACAGAATGGAAGCTGCGTCTGAGA